CTTTCTCGCCCCGGAGCTCGCAGGTAGCAATCCGCTACCTCGACCTCCGGGGCGAGAAAGCCCCGTTCGTAAGTGCGGATCCGACATAAGTCGGATCCGCGTAAGTCGGGGACTGCCTGTATTTCACAGGGGCAAGGAGGTAAGAAGTAAATGAATACAGTGAAAGAGCACACACACAATTCCAAACCTCAACAAAGATTCAAAGTTTGTTCCCACTCATTCCATTGCCATTATAGACAGCTTGAGTATTTCCAAAGGTTGCAGTCTTCTCAAGCCCAAGACCATTTCAGTGCAAGATTGGTGCCATGCTGAGACAACCAGCTTCGGGAAGTCAAAAAGCTCCAATACAGTTATGCAAAATGGGCCTTCACATGCATTGAGACTGACTGCATTTAGTCAAGAATCCCTCATCAAAAATGGAAAAGATACAGATTAGAAACTATACCACTTAGAAGTGGTCATATTTTACCTACCATTAGTATTCGATTTTTAAAAATATAATCTGACATGTTTGCTGTTGTGCAACAACGTAATTTTTTCTTAAATATTAAAAGTGAAATCCTCACCCCCATTTTAGTCAAATAGGAGTTTTGCCATCAACTTCAATTTTACCCTAAGAATATACAAATGGATATTGCCCCAGAAATATGCATTTCAAATACTGGACCAACTGCATTTAACTTCCGTTTGCTTGATTAATAGAATTACAGAAATGGTCAGACTAAGAACATGTTTGTAAACTCCAAGATTCCTTCTCCCCCTTCCTTAAGCTTTATACTTATTAAAACAAACTTCTTATAAGATGCTTTTGAGAAGGCAATCATTAAGAAGAGCTAACAGAACAGCTTCCTCTGGCATACTGTCTATCCTCTGGTGGCAGTAGAGTTGATTTAGGGCAAAAACCCTTTTTCGAAAGAACCCGTACTCCTGAAAAAGTGAGTACGGGTTCTTTCAAAAAAGGTTTTCTCTCTCAAAAGAACCCCATCTAGACTGTGCTTTCACTTTTGAAAAACTCTTTAAAAAAAACCTGCTCGGATGCGAATATGCAAATGAAGTGCGGGATATTTAAATCCGCACTTCATTTGCGCTTTCAATTTGCTTCATTTACATTCCTCTTTCGAAAGAGGAATGTAGTCTAGACATAGCCTTACTGAAGCCTAGTCTACAGTAAGGGATAAATTTGAATTAAGATACATAACTCCAGCTATATTAATTACATGGCTTAAGTCAAAGTATCTGAAACTGGAATTTTAGTACCATCCACACCGTGGGAAGTTGAAGGGAGCACACTCTCCCTCCCTTTGACTTCCCTTACTGCTCATAGGAGCAGGACTACCGGCATTGACAGGAACACCCTTTCAGTTCGAATGAGCATGTCTTCACTAGACCTGCTAATCTGAACCCGGGAAGATCGACTGCAGCTGCTTTGATCTTAACTGTAGTGTAGACATGGCCTGAGTGATTCTGTCATTGCTTGGTTTGATTCTGTCATTGCTTCACCTGGAAACATATCGAAAATGTCTTCAGTATGTTTTAAAAAAAATAATTAAAAAATGGTGATTGGAAATGAATGAACGATCTCACTACACATCTATAAAGCTTTCTGAAGGAGCTGAAAGTTTGAGGATACTTGCATTTAAGTAACTGAGTTTTCAGTTCAGAGAGATTAAAAAACAGAACAGAAATGTAATATCACTTACAGAGGTGTATTCCCTTCAGAGTCCTGTATATTCACAGATGCTTTGTACCGCAGAAGGATCTGTATAATTTTTAGATTTCCCTTGGCTGCTGCTCTGTGCAATGGAGTGGATTCAAACTGATCTGTTGCATCAGGATCAGCACCATTCTCTAACAGCATAGTTGCAATCTGAGAAGGGTTGTGAGGGTGGGGGAGAGAGAGGAAGAATGGGAAAAGAATTCACCTAATGACAATTTAATGACAATATAAATGAAGAGCAAGATCTGGTAACATATGAAACCCTACCTCTTGTCTGTTTTTGGAGGCTGCATAATGCAGAGGTGTACAGCCATTTTGATTAACAACATTCACCTGAGCACCCTTTCCAATCAGAGCTTTCACAATTTCATCACGGCCCGCTGAAGCTGCAATATGTAGAGGAGTCCAGCCAGCCTACAGAGGCACAAAAAATAGTTTTAAACTCTACACTTGCAAGAAAAAGTCTACACTATTTGCAAGTCACATTTTGCACAGCTACCACCATTCTTAGAATTCTGGTGACAACCAATAGAATTGGTGCTAAAAGAAGAGACATATTAGGTCAATCTTAATGTCCATTGAAAATGTAATGAAACAATATAACATCAGAATCCACTTTTTGCCATAGGGCAGTTCGTACTGTTTGTCTGTGTGACTATTTTACTCAGAATAATATCTTATTCTACTGAATGGCAGAAAGGCCCAAAAGAAGTGCCTGGAAGCTTATTTTAGCTAGACAGCTTAACACTGAAGAGAACTTGACAACCCGCCCTTCTTTAAAAAGACTATTATTCTTGTAGGACTGATCACAGTAGACATTACTTAAATGTCTATTTGTCTAATGCCTATTTTGTCCACTCTGGTGGACAAACTGAAGTAATAAAGGAAAATGCCATTTCTGCAGCACTTCCTGAGCACATCAAGTCTATCCTCTGCTCTCTACAAGAGATTTTAACAACTTCTTACAATAACCATGTAACCGCTACAAATCTTAGCGGTTACACGCTCAAAGGGCTCTGCAGCGTAAAGCTTAGCTTTACGCTGCAGAGCCTGCAGCGAAGCCTACTCAGGAGTGGGGCCACCAACCCCTGTTGGCTCCACTGTCACCGGCCCAACTCCCAGGAGGAGACTTCACTACCACAGCACAGATACCTCCCAGGGAACAGGGCTGGCAAGAGCTGCTGGGCCCACTCTGGGGGTGCTACACTGTGTAACCTGCAGAGGTGGGGGACCTGGCCAGGCCCACCATGGAGAGGGACTGTTCTAGACAGCCAGGGAGCTGTTTCAGCCCCACTGGTTAACTGGAACGTTTTACATCTCACTCGCTACATCCGCATCATGTACCCTATCAAGTTAAAGTTCAAGATCTCAGTCCCTATCTTCAAGGCACTCAAAGGCCTGGTCCAATATATCTAAAAGAGCCCCATAAACTTCAGGATAAAGACAGTACTAGGTAATTCTGCTCTTCAGCCGTTTTCTACCATAAAGGTAACATTACTCTATGCAGGGGGCACAGTTTCCTTGGGAGCTGCTCCAAGAACAGGAAACCAACTCCCATAAAAACGTAGAATCATCACAAACCTGATCACCTTCTATTTGAGGAATTATGCTTCTTCAGCCTACCCTGTCTAACATACACATAGCAGCACATACATTTTAATAAGACACTCAGAGAAACACACTACACACAAGTCTCTTCCTGGAAAAAGGATAAGAGTGTGTCAGAACAAACTGCACATGACAGATGTTCTCCATGTCATTTAAGACACACAGATATTACACTGATTAGGGCACAGTATATTAAGCTATGCAGAATAGAATAAGATTTTAGTTACATAACAAGGAGTCCAGTGTTTGTAAAATCTATCATTATTATCTATCTATGGTAATGAGTTATGCTACCAAATCAATAGTGGGACAGTCTCCTCAAAGAACCCGCCTCATACACATGACTCAGGACTATGCACGGAGACCATGTAGATCACCAAAACCAACAAGTATGGCAGCAGCTGTAACAAAGTCATGAGCCTTGGTATCTGGCCAGTCAGACTCATTGCCTATTGAGCCCAAAGCTGCACAGAACGTGATTCTGAAAGCCACTGAAGAATGTTCCTAGGGATGTACAAAACTTACATCATCCTTGTCATTGACAGGCACAGCGAGGCCTAACAACAAATGCACGATGTCCGTGTGTCCCGCTGAGCACGCCCAGTGCAGTGCTGTTCTGTGATCCTGCATACAGAAACAGACATGGGGTCAGCTCCAGACAGGCTCACCCCTAGCACAGGGCCCCACAGAAACATGGCAAGGCAGGCAATGGGGAAAACAGGCCTCAGGCTGTTCTCCAGCTGAAATTGACATGACCTAGACTCCCCCACCCCCTTCAAGTAGCCCTTCTCCACACACCGCCTACAGCCCAGCTCCCCAGCCCTAACCCTGCTGGGAGCCCCGATAGCCCAGCTCCCCCTACACCACTCTGGGCCCTTTATGTCTCCTGGGGGGCCAATTCTTCCATCCCCAGCGCTACTCCCTACAGCGAGTCGGCCCAGGGGACCCCTCTCGCAGGCAGCCCCTCCAGCCCCGGGGGCCCGGCAGCCGCGAGCCTCTAACGCCCGCTCCTCCCGCCGAGTCCACCCTGACCTTGTCG